AGCTGAGGGGGTGTGTCTAATTATATGGTTATCTATGAGGTGGCTGGCGCACCTGTACCTATTCCTAAAACGGTTTCTCCCTTGCTTGGAAGGCATTCAATAAGAAAACAAGAAAATCTGTAGAAACGATCACGACACACTTTAATAAATGAATCATAATTTTTTCATCAGATACTTGACGATTCTCATCACGCGATTATCTAATAACTTCATCTCCGCCGCAGACTTCATATTATGGACGGTCTTTCGGGCGCAGCAAGCGTCATCGCGGTGATTGATATATCCGCCAAGATTGTTTCACTATGCCTCCAGTACTCTAAAGCCGTTAGAGGTGCTAAAGATGATATCGAGCGTGTACAGGGAAAGGTCAGCGATATCACCCACATCCTAGAGCAGATCAAGCAGCTCCTTGACAGCCAGGACAAGACGCAGCTCTCTGCCACTCAGGGCCTCTTTAGCTCGCTCACAAAATGCCTAAAGGAGCTAGAAAACCTGCAAGTAGAGTTAGAACCAGGAAAGGGCCGCAAGACTATGAGTCGAATCGGCTTCCGTGCGCTCAAATGGCCGTTCACGAGCAAGCAGGTGGATAAAATCGTGTCAAGCTTAAAAGGATGCGAACAGACCCTCAGTTTAGCGCTACAGGTTGACCAGACGTAAGTTTCCGTACCCCGATCTGTTGTGTGCAGAAACACCTTCTCACTGACTGCAGAACCGCTGTATTAAGCATAGACCAGAAACTGGATCTAGCCAAACTACCTATTGCCCATGGCGCATCCTACGACTCCCATACGGAGGAACACAACGCGCGATGCCTACCGAACACCCGTACTGCACTGCTGCAGGACATCACCAAATGGGCGCAGGATAAGGATAGCAAGTCTATATTCTGGCTTAGCGGCATGGCTACTTCCGGCTATCATCCTTACCTACGAGGACTTTAACAGAGCTTAGCATAGAAAGCATCACTCCAGTCTCATCCATGTTATAGACGTTCCCAGGTAGGATCTCTGGATCCCTAAGTACCTCTCCAATCACCTTAAACCAGTGTGTAATCTTCGAGTATATGTTCTTATCGTGGCGATTTCAGTCTAGCGCTCTGACCATCCTTGCTTCTATCTGGGGATGCCTCTTCCTAAAAGCTAGCGTCCAATTTCGATGCGGCGGCTTCGACGGTCTGGCTGATTCCGGTCTGTGGAGGGTGAGGCGGTAAGCTAGAAATAGGATAAACTTCACTCGAACGGGGAATCCAAGTCTTGTCGCGATCGGAGCTGCCGCGCGTTTGCCTCTGCCTTCTCTACGTCCTGCTGTGTCAGACCGAGCGACTTGATTCACGCGCACGCCCGTGCTGTCTGCCACGTGACCAGATCAGTAGGTACCTTCGTATCTTACACGAGGCTTCACAAGCCTTTGTTGTGTTGGGACTATTGGACGAGACAGAACGTGATGTACGGTAATGTTGGTGGCAGAAACCGGACCTAACAATCATTCGCGAACAACGAAGAGTCGTGAATCGAGAACGATGCTTTTGCGCTCTTCGCTTTTGATCTATCACCCAGAGCTGTTTTCAGACAAAAGAAAAATATCTCGGTCACGATAATTGCAAGAATTAGCGTCGAGGTATACGTCTATCAGGAAGCCGGCTCCATGCAGCGGGTTTCTAAATAAGATGTTCACTGTACTCATGGTCATATTACCCCGCATAGTAGTTGAACACGACCGAACACGACTTAGCATCATACATTACAGGGTACGGTGGCTGCAGAATCAGTCACTATTCGTTCTCTTGTTCCCATTCCCTGGCTCCACCCAAGTTCTGAACAGCGCACCACTAAAGACGAATCATGATGGCTCCGCTGCGAGAAGACATCCTTAAAGCCCTATAGGAGTCGACGGCAAACAAACAGCGCCTTACAGCGGCCAAAGGGAGTAATCCAGAGTAGGGGTCAGTCAAAACAATCTCGGCATAATAGACCAGCTTCATAGATATCCCTATACTGATAGCCTGTGCTAAGGTCTTTATCCTTAAGATTATAGGGACCTGATCATATCATACCTCGTTATTGTTACTAACCCTATTTTGCGGTTGCTACCTAACAGCCTCGCCCCTTTACAGGGACCTTTCTAAGCGCCGATTTACCTTGAGAGAAATCGATCTGCGTTTATCGGGCACTTATCTCATATCCTCGATATAATTCTCAGCTCACGAGATCAAGCTTCGAGGCTTTTGAAACAGCAATTAACGAAATTCCTAAATTGCATTCTTTTTACGCCATGTACAGACGATTGAGGGGTACTAGAGTCCCTATCAATTACGCGTCTCTATTCCTGGCAGCGGTATCAACGGTAACCCTATGGTCATCCCCGGAACCATCGTCCTCAAATCCGCTCCCATAAAATCAACTGTCCAAGAGAAACTCACACCATGACTCTCGAAAAGATCATCCACACCCGACGCTTTCATATTCTCGAGTCCTTCATGACATTCTGTTTCAGTCTTGTATGGAATGCCGACAACAACAGCCTTCAGGTGTGGAAAGTCCCTAGGCGCCTGTGCTCCAAGTTGGTGTAGTTCTTTCGTAATCTCACGAAAAACGTATGTAATGCGAAGACGCTCGATCACAGGAGGAAGGAAGGAGACAAGTCGGTAAGGGACCTTGGGGTCAGTCTCCCGGTAGATGGATCGCAGATCTATGGTGATGTCGACGAGAAGGGGGAACATAGAAAGGGAAGAAATAGAATCGTAGTTTAGCTGGTTCGGGCGATATTCGTATTCATCCTCTGGGTCCCATTGGCGATCTCGGTCGATCTCTTCGAATTTGGACGGTTGGATATAGCTAAGACATAGCCGCTTAAGCGTCTTTGACCACACTTGCAGGGCCTCATCGAAAGAATCGCTATAGCTTTCCCAGGTAGTCCAGTAGTATGTTAAATCTTCAATGCCGGGGAACTTTTCGTTCTGTTCTACTTCCAATTCTTCGATGCCGTTGGTGAGTGCAAACATTAAGTCCATAAAGTCTGTCGGGGTACGACTGTTTAGCGATAATTTGCGTAGTCTTAAGAGACCGAGCTGTTCACAGTCGAGATGGGCGTCGGATGTCCTCGCTACTGGATAGATCATGATATCGTTGTGATGATCGTCCGTCGACCAGCCGCCACCGTCGCATATATACAAGGTGTCGACGTTAAACGCAGCGTTGAAGAAATGGCCTCTCTCACGGAGCCAGAAGTCATGCGAGCCTCTTATAACACCGAGAGTTCTAAGCGAGGGAAACGTCAATAAAGGAGGCAGCGTCCAATTAGTTTCATTGAGCGTTTCCAGATACTCTCGAAAACCATATGGCCAAGCGAGAAGTAAAGTGTGAACGTTGATTGTGCACTGTAGGACGACCAAGAAGAGCTCCTCGAGGTTAAGCGATGTGTCGGCGGAGTACCTTTTAAGATTATCTTTTCTCAACCTCCAAGGCAGCAGGTGCCGTTCCTTTGCCATATTCAACAGCAGACTCATAGTTTCTGTGAGGTCTGGATGAGTCGCTTCGGGTGGGTTTTCTGAGACCCGTTCTCTTCCCAAGATAATTTGCAAGCTTTTCACGCGTTCAGCCAAGTCTGGGCGTGCGATAATGGTACGCAAGAATTGAGGGAGAAAATTGGAATCCCACACTTCAACGTCGTTCTTGCCCCAATGTCCCCGATATGGGGTTCCCGCCTTGCGGACATTTCCCGTCGCATAGTAGTGGTAGAGGATTGGCTGCACAACAGTGCATATGGCTTTGGATGTGCGGCACAAACGTGCCAATGACCTCTTATCCTCAACTGTATCATATTCGTCTGCATTGACAAAATTGCCTGGCCTCTGACAATGGTAACAAAGGTTCGAAAAAATGAGGTTCAGAACGTCCACAGGGATCTGATCTAGGCGCATGACTGCGTAAGAGAGGAACTTCGCCTGTTCGAAACGGTAGTTTGTTGTCGAGGACGTGGAGAGGGACAAAGTGAGAGTGCGCGCATTGTTATAGGTATACGAGACAGTGAGCGCTAGCGATATTAACCGCGTCGCGTGCATCGCCAGGCTAAGCAATTCTATCGTAGACTAGGTATTATGCCACGCCACATCAACGCATAGTATCCGACACATCGATCTCCCGTGGCCGCTCTGTTTCGCTCGAAAAGAGCCGTTTCCAGGCAAAGTGTCGAACAACTGTGACGCTAATTCTGTAGTTATGTAATCTCAAACGTATATCTCAAGCTTCAAGTCAATACGTCATTATATAAGTATTTTGCTAATCGAATACATAGATAGTATTGTTTACGTGCTGAATTTGTTGATAAGAATATCTGATGATCGGTATACTAAAATATGCTCGAATGTTATCTGTCTTTACTTATTGAAGCTATGTTTGTAGGTCCAGCTCTTGCAGAGACATTTATCACAATATGCGGTATCTCAGTCATCTTTACAAATTTTTTTTACTCGAGGTCACCAGAATAATATTGACCGGTAGCAGATACCGAGTAAACTTGATAGAGCTCCCACACGACCATACAAACGTGCTTCGAGGGTTACAGCGACTTAAATGCTCCGAAGAGATGCATCCAAGCCTCATCACATTACAGTAGGGGCGAGAAGTTATTATCCTGTGTATAAGATATGGTTAACGAGCAACCGCATGGTTCAATCTTCCTAACTGATAAAGGCTTTTGTCCAACGTCTATGCCTATGTTATGGCCTAAGTGGCCACTCTCTTTTCGTCTTGCAGCATGTCGACCCAAACATCACTAAAGCAGAATTTCATACTTTGGAATGAAGTCATGTCCAGATCCTTTCCCTTACTTTTACCGTTCGCTCACTACTTCTTACAAGTCTTGATGATCTTCTGAACCATCGCGTCTTGGGAAACATACTTACTTCCCAATGCAGAGATATCCTTCTCCTTCATCACCGTTCGGAATTTAGCCGCATAGAAATACTCCTTGGGCGTTTTCAAGCGTCCCAGACTCAATGCTTCCATGACAGCAAACGGGGCCATACTTGGATCTTCGACGACTGTCTGGATCGCGAGACCACCATTTGCAGCAGCTCCAACCATAGCAATGAGTCGCGCAATGGTGGTAGCACCCGCACTGATAGCAGCCGCCTCACCCAGGAATGGAATTACCATGAAGACGGCAGATAGAATGGTGATGAGCTTGTTCTTCGCTTCTTCCTTCTCTTCTTCTTCACCGAGCTCTTTTGCGTCTTCCATTCCTTCGATAGCATTTTGTACGAGGAAGACCGGAACAGCAAGAGACTGCACCACGTCTTGAATGCTTCCATTCCAAAGGCCCATACCGATGCTGAAAATCTGCACGGTTAGGGAATGCATCAAGCTGCCTTGGTTCCCCATCGCCTTGGTGACGACATCCTTCGGATCTGGAATGTCGTAGACTTTTTTGAGACGTGCTTGACCTTCGATGGTCAAGTCCAGGTTGTTGCAAGGCTCAGGCTGGCAGTTAGAATGCTCCTTATAAGTGTAGAACTCGATCCAGTCTTGCAGAATACCCGTCTTGTTCTGTAAGTCTTTGTAAAATCCATCGGAATCTCTCAAAGTCTGCGTGATCTTCCATACATCGAACGGTTGATTCCCACGTACATTATTAGGAACTGGGCAGGCACCTCTCCAGTCTTTTCCTCCACCTACCCAATGACAGTCGAAGTAGGGCAAACTGGGTCCATCCATGTAGTCCATGTGACGACCTAACACGTCTGGGAGCCCGTTCTTCAAGTACTTGGTATATGACTTGAACTTGCCATCGTACCTATCATTGACCGAATTGTACTTGTCCATGGCTTCGCCCAGTAATTTCTTTAAAACACCGAGCGCGTACACCGCGGCACATGTAGGCTGCAGGTTTTCGTTTCCCGAGATCTTCTCAAGCGTGTCGTAGCTGCCATAGGAATCACACTTTGGACCAACGCCTTCCTTCTCAAGCTCGTCTGGATCGACACTGCCGACGCCATCATCTCCATGATCTTTATCAAGATCAACAGCCCAATCTGATGTTCCGCCAAAATTGAGGCCCTTGTACCAATCTGTGCGGGATGCCTTAGTCTTGTCGCTCATGTAAGAGACCCAGTCATTGCCGCCATATACAAGGATGTCCGAATCAGAATCTTTGTCATAGGATACTGTGGCATTGCCGCCTGAGCCAAGCAGACTCTCTGTGATGATTTCCCGGATTTCGGCGTTGGAAATGTAGCCTGCGGTTTCGGTACATCTTCACTCGGTGGCGTCGGATTCGTCCTTCGTGCCGGTGAACTTGCACATAGGTCCTTGGCAACTTGCTTCTTCCATGTAAAAGCTGCGACCGTAGCTGGCGACTCCAACGACTACCTTGTTCGATAGTACACCGGCCTTTGTGATCATGGCGAGTGAATTCTGGGTCTCAGTCTTGTTGATGTGTGATCGTAAGCAATTACCCCTACACAAGTTAGCTGAAAGCGTAGAGTTGGGGGTACTTATACACATACTCCTCGCAGCTGGGATTTGACCACTTGTTGCCATAATCCCACTGACCATGCAGATCGTACGTCATGTAAACTATATAATCGACGATCCCAGCAATGTCCTTGATGGGGAACCCCTTCATATACCAATAAGATGCAGGGGCCGCGATGGAAACAGTTTGTTTCTGGAGACGCCGTTTGACGGTCTGCAGGAAAAGTTTATATTGGTCTCCAGCTGCGATGGCACTAGGTGGGATACCTGGAATGTCTGGTGCAGATGGGTACTCCCAATCAAAGCCCACGCCATCAAGACCGTTGTCGGTAACGAACTTTGCAATGTTGGACGCCAGAGTAGCACGATTTGCATCAGTGACACCCTCGCGGAAGATATTGTAAGTTGGAGCCTCTGTCGAGAAAGCCCAACCACCGAATGAGATGATGCGCTTGATATCTTTGATGCCCTTTAGCTTTCCAAATTCGTCCTCCATCCCGGTGATGTTGATCTTGTAGTCGGCCGTGATCTGTGGAAACGCAAAATGAATATGGGTGAAATTGTTTGGAACATCACTAATGGTCATGTGTAGACAAGGGCGATTCTTGTTCCAAGCCTCGAAGTACGTAATCTTGCGAAATTGCTCGGGCGGGGTTTTGTTGTTGGTGATATTCATACCGCAGCTAGATACGCAAGAATTCTTCTCGGGTTGCGTGGTACCAGGGTTCTTCGTGTCTGCCGGGTTAAAAATACAAAAGTTGTCTGTGGTACCACATTGGCCCCAAACGTTGCAGCAAACATTCAGTGCACAAGGATTGAGATCAATTAGATCCATGCCATCAGTTGGTCTCGTGCTTCCAGGTTTCTGAGGACCACAAACCGCATTGTCCCTCTCTGCAGGCATCGGTGGGTCGCCTGAGGAGACGCAGAACTTTTGGCCAATCAAAAGCGCGCATCCTGACCAACCCCATGTCTTTTTGTTGTAGTCTTTGATTTTATTGATAGTGATGCCAAATGCTGCAGCCACGCTGGAGCAAGTATCATTTTCCTGGGTGATGTAAGTAGCACATGACCCGTCGGGGTTGGGTTTTGGGCCCACTACAATTCGTTAGACATGCTGTAGAGATCAGGTTGGCAACTTACTGTCTGGTAGGGTACCCTTAGAACAGCACACCCACGCCTTCGTTTGAACATTGTTACAGTCCAGGTTTTCGGGGTTGTAGCTCTCAAGATCTTTTTGAGTTATGCCGCATCGTTGTGAGAGTGCCCAACACCCGTCCTTGGGTTGAACTTGAATAGCCGTGCACTCAGCGCGAGGCTCCAGTGAACGCGTGGCTATATCCTTGAGCTCAATCGGCTCGTTTATCTGCCCAAAACCTTTGTACAAGCCGATGCGAAGAGGCACACTGATTGCACGGACTAAATCTAAGTTCATCGGCGTATCGGTTCCTACTCGAGAACCATCATCGATGCAGTCGCCCATACCCCACGTTCTGAGCACTTTCTGGGCGGCCGAGATATCTCCCTTACGATCAAAATAGGCGCCGACCATCCACGTCGCAGGGGCTGGGCCGGAGCAAGCTTGAGCAATCAGGCGAAGCGAATCGGGCCTGTCTTTGAGGCAAGTAGTGAGGGCTTGGAGGACGGTCAAGGCACTCGACGTTGTGACTTCGGTGCCTACATAAATTCAAATAACTGCCTCACCGTAACGGACAAACTTGATGGTGGAAGAGCAGTCGTCCCGTTTGGCGAGGTAGTCGTGTAGAGCTTTAGCGGCTCCTGAGACTTTATCACCGTCTCCTTGCGTAGCTTTGAGACCGTCTTCATCCCAGATTCGTATGTCAAGGATCGTTTCATTCCGAAACGTCTGCCCATTCGCTCTATAGCCCTTGACCTGGGTGTTGGAGGTTGTATTGAGTGTGCACTTCGTCGTGGTTGCCAACACCTCGGATGGCTTGCCGAAAGTGAATGGCGCTGGGCTGTAATCGACTTGGACTCTCACTTCTTCATCGGCTGCAGTGCAGGTTCGTAGCGTCAACGGCACGAGTGGATCGTCGTCAGTCCACAACGCAGTGTCGAAGAGTACGGGCTCGTGGCACCGCTTCAATGCCCCGATGCCGTGCAAATCCGTCCATTTGGAAGGGTCATCGCCAGCTTTGCTGCAGGCCTTGGGACATGGTCGTCCAGGACTCTGCCAGGCGCTTGACAAACCCAGCTGGACCAAAAGAGTGTAATGAAAATAAACGAATGTGTGCCTCATTGTGGAAGGGAAGGAAACTCAAAAGAATGTCTGATGAACGTAGTTTTCAAGGGGCGAACAGCGTGCTAGAAGTAATTTCCCAAGGCGTGCAGTAGTTGATGCATTGGGACTTTTCGTGTGATCGATACTGCCGAGGTCCGCCCTAGGTAGTCTTCTGTAGCCGTGCCACACGTCTGGAACATGCAGGGGGCAAAGGTCGGCTTACGCGTCTAACATCGCCATGGGGCTCAATCTCGGAAATCCTACGCATTATTTGTGAACTTTGCGGATAATGTCACGGATGATAACTCTGCATACGTGCACGCATAATGCTGGGCTCACTATATTCGCTTTTAAGGATACTTGCTACTCTCAGGCCATCTCTGAGTTAAAGACCGAGAATAGAAATCTCATTTACCTTCGCGAGGTTACATCAGCCTGCAACGATGTGTTGTATCTCCTAGAAATTATCGACTCCCACCTCTCTTAGAGTCCCCGCCGTTCGTTCAGTCACTCGTTGCATACACTCACCCATTCACCACTATGAAGCTCTTTACTGTCGCTCTCTTTGCCTCTTCATTCACCAGTGTGCTTGCGTCTGGCAGAGTTGCAGGCTAGGAAGCTGTCACATTTTATTACGCATACCTCATGGACGTACGCACCGGTGGTGATACCATTGTCCCGGCTGCAAGGGGACGCACACAACCATCAAAGGGGCCTGTAATTTTCCTGAATTCATCGATCATATCCAACTCAAGCCTTACAGAAGCAAAGATGCCAATGGTCAGAGGGAATGGTTTGGCGGTTTTGATCCCTCGAAGGTCCCGAGCTCTCTGAGACATTTAAATTTCCCGGACCCAGAAGAGGCTAGCAAGATAACGGAATGGGATGGTATGTCTGCCATATCAAAAGCGATAAGTCTTGCCTAACAAAAGTTCCAGGCAGCAAGAACCCGGGTTTTGGATACGGAAGACCCAGTCAAGAAGACAAAATTGAATACTTCAAGTTCACCGGCGCCGAACGTACCCGGCAAGCGAGCTGCGCACCCCACTAGACTTTCATGCCTCTATAGTGGTATATCTCAACAACACAATAAGATAATAGAATATAATTACTATGCTAAATTAAGTGGCATCTCTAGTGTCCTTCGTACATGTTCGCGAGTTATGGCCAGTCTCCCTACAGCGCCTACAGCGCGCTGAAGCCTACCGACTCGTACCTGATCGCGCCCCCTCTTTGTGGACTCCTTCCTTACTGATCGAAGGGTCCAAGTCCGCCTTGGCCAGGTCACTACCCCCAGCTATCCGGTTGTATGTGGTACGCCCCAAGGGTCCCCTCTCTCCCCGGTCCTGTACACGCTGTACCTGGCAGAGCTGCTATCCATGGACACAGAACGGAGGTTTGGATACGCCAACGATATATGCCTATACCGGGCCTCGCACTCTCTAGACAACAACGTTGAGCTTCTAGCAGCAGATCTTAGGTAGATTAGAATATGGGGCACAATCAACAAGGTCACCTTTGCCCTAGAAAAGCAGGAGATGATACACCTAACAAGATAGCAAAGCAGCTACGCACCACCCTATACTATAGACGAGTATCTCACGATCTATCCAATCCTCACAGGTGGAGAGCACCGCCTGCCAGCCCTATAGTGGCTAGGAATCTAGTTCAACCGCAAACTGAATTTTAGACGACATATAGCCACACGTGCCACAAAAGCTACTAAGGTAGCCTACCACATCCAAAGTCTAGCAAGAACCACTTATAGACTACCAGCCAGCTCTCTATATAAGGCTACTATTGCCTACATATACCCATCCCTTCTATACGGTACAGAGTGCTGGTATAGAGGCCGCACTAAACCACTATAGACACTCAAACCCAGCAGGCCGCCAGAGGTTAGCGCCCATGTCGGATGGCACATAGCCGCTATAGATAAGATACTTGCCATAGCAGTATAAGGTATCCTACTAGTATAGTGGATAACACTAATAGCTACACTTTTCTAAGATACTAGATTACCATCCGCCATAGTAGCGCTAGAGAAAGCTAAATTTAGATTTATAACCCACCTTCGTATAATAGACGCGGACCACCCCCTTACTATCTATTTAGTAGTACCTATAGTAAGAAGAGCCAAGGGAGCTAGGTAACCCTAGAGAGTCTAGACAAAAGTCTAGTAGCTAGGGTCTCTCCTGCTAGAGATTCCTAGGATAACACTAACAGCCCCTTACTACTCACCTGGCTGCCGAACTAACCCAACTTTTGGCGTAGATAAGAATACTACAGCTAAGGCCTTTAAAAAATGGTAGGCTTAGCTCCTATTATTAGATATCACTATCTTCTTAGACAGCTCTAAATAGTATATAAAGGAAAGAGAAAAGTAGGTTACCTATGGCTACATAGTGTACTAGAATAAAAGATAACTATAGAGTGGCCATAGGTCACTTTATTCTACCTCACACGTGTTTAACGTGGAGGTAATTAGAGCGTAGAGAGGCCTCTAGTATATAATATAGTAACTAGCGCTTAGCGCCCATTAAATCTAGATGTACATAGACAGCACCTTAGTAATATGGTGCCTTAGGGGCAACGCACCCTCCACCTTATAATAGGCCTTCCTAGTATACTACGGCGCTATAGAGACGCACGATGTCTCTATTAAGTGGGCCCCCAGACACCTAGGTATTAAGGGGAATGAGACGGCTAATAGACTAGCTAATTAGGAAGCCTAGCACCCATTACCTCTAATTAGGGAAGCTACTATACCTACACTCTTAGGTATTAAGTTAGTTACTTATAAAGCCCTACTAAGCACAC